TACAGTAATGTTCCCTTCTCATGCATGACCAAAAGATTTTAAATTCAGCTCCTTAAAACCGTCCGGTACTTACGTACAGACACGTGAAAAATTTGATAGGAAAACTGCTAACTCAGGAACGGGAAAAGCTGAAGGCTTTGATTTTAAGGGAATGTTTCCTGCTCGTGTGCGACTAAAAAATTTTAAACTTAACTCCTCTAGTGTGGCTTTTTTTGCGGACCAGCAACTTTCCATTTGTCGGTCACTGAAGTCGACACCTACAACGACATACCACATAGTTGCGCAATTAACTTCCCGAACTTGGAGGGTCATTATTTCACAGGGTGGCTACTTTGATTCCTTGCGATCTTGCTACGGCATAATCACACCGATCCGCCTGGTGCGTTCTAGCCTGAGCTGCTTAATTCAGCGCAGTGGTGTGAGAGTCGGAATCCACACCCTGAGCTGGCCGAGCTAAGCCGAGTGGAGCTGATGTGCCCCATGTAGCCGGGATGAAATTTGCACAGCGCGTTGTTTCTTCTTGTGTGTGAGTGCTTGTTGGTCCGTGGGCTGGTCCTATAACGGGGTCGTACGGAGGTACGGGGTTCTTTTTGGTTTTGGTGTTTGTGTATAAATTTATCGGCTTTCTCCAGCATCAAGTTTCGTGCTAAGTATTATACTTCCGTATACTCCTCTCACCTCTCTGTTCTTCGCTCTGGTTTCCAGTTCGCTCCCCCAAGCAAGGCTTTTTTATGCTCAGCATGAAATTCGATGCTGAGGAGAATATAGCACTGTTGAAAAGCGACACCTGGAACCTCACCCCGACAGAAAATCCCGGGGTTCTTGCAGCCTGAGCCCGGAAATGAGTGCGCGGGTGGGCCGAGTTTTAGCGCTTGCCGAGTTTCAGTAGTTGCTTTAGCGAGTCAATAGTGCTGTAATTTCCCGCACTGGAACTTCGGTTTGTTGGCTACAGTGTGCTAGCATGTCGGCGTTGTTGCTTTGTGGGGTGCGTTGTTGCTTTGTGGGGTGTTTTTTGGATAATTTTCATTATCTTTTGGTGGATGATCATGTACTGTCCGTGCTGTACATTGGCGGATCCAGGGGAGGGGGGGGGGGCGGAGGAAGGGAGCGAGGGACTTTCCGGGAGTTCAGTTACTAGTTGTTTTACTGTACAAAAGTCTGCTCGGCACCCCATTTTGTCCTCCCCCC